GAGATGTGTTCCGTCCCCCTGATCATTTTTGTGGCCCTCCTCTGGACCGGAAAATACATATATTCTCTTTTTTGTAAGCCCTCTTTAAGAACTGATAGGGTGCAGTAAGGTATCCCCAAAGCCTTCTCTTCTCTAGGCTGAAACCCCGACTCCATAGAATCATAGAATAGTTTGGGTTGGAAGGGACCTCTAAAGGTCATCTAGTCCAACCCCCCTGACGTGGGCAGGGACATCTTCAACTAGAGCAGGTTGCTCAGAGTCCCGTCCAACCTCACCTGGAATGTTTCCAGGGATGGGGCATCCACCACCTCTCTGGGCAACCTGTGCCAGCGTTTCACCACCCTCAGCTTAAAAAATTTCTTCCTTATATCTAGTCTATATCTAATCCCCTTTAGTTTAAAGCCATTGTCCTCTCACAACAGGCCCTGCTAAAAAGTTTGCTGCCATCTTTTTTGTAAGCCCCCTTTAAGAACTGATAGGGTGCAGTAAGGTATCCCCAAAGCCTTCTCTTCTCTAGGCTGAACAACCCCGACTCTCTCAGCTTTTCTTCATAGGAGAGGTGTTCCGTCCCCCTGATCATTTTTGTGGCCCTCCTCTGGACCGGAAAATACATATATGTTCTCTTTTTAATAAGCACAGCTGCATACAGCTTTCCTTTGTGATGATGGTGCCTCATTTTCTTTTAACACAGACATTAGACCTTCAACAAAAATGCATCTACTATGTAGAGCCAACTGCCCTTGTAAATGCTCCTACTCGTCTGTAACGTAAAGTAGTTCAGGAGAGCATCTCCCAAGGACAGTAAGATGTACGGGCTTGCACTTGTAATGATGTGCCAGAAAACAGGATAGCTGTATATGCACGCTTACTGCAGACCAGCTGCCACAGATAATTTCTTTGAGCATCAAAGCTGGCAGAATAACAAGGGAAGAATCTTGACAGAGCAATACCAATAACAAGTGGAGTTACAAGGTGCTCTTATTATTTCACTTTCAGAGAGACTCCCTTCAAAAACCCAATTCCGAAAACTGTTTGCATTCACACTAGGAAAGCAGAAAATATATATCTCATTTCTTCACACATCAAGTCATGTTTAGAAAACCTATTCATAACTCCTATCAACACATTTGACAGACCACAAAGCAAGACTGACAGCAAGCATGTGGTGAGAATTGCAACAAAAGACACAGAAGATGCAATAACAAATCCCAACTGCTCATGTCTTATAAATCAAATTGCAATATATATCAATGAGGTCAAAGTAGTAAGTATCAGATTAGACTCTGTGGCTAAATTTATTGTTCATATTGACCTTCCACATAAAGCAAAGAAAATTTATGTGAGCAGAGACCGCAGGCCTAGGCACAAAAGGCCAATGACTTATGATATGAGCCCCTAGAAACTTTTGAAATTAATGTATATGTGCCCTATTTTGCAGCTGAAGAGGTTTGGAAATGAAGACAGGGAAAAAAAAGACCAAAGCTTACAATGCGAGTTAAAGGAGCAAGAGATTATTTAAGATCTTTCTTCAACGGCTTTAATAAGACTAAAGACTCTAGTACCATATTGAGAAAAAAGAAGGAAATCTTGAAATGGTTTCCCATATGAAAAACAAAACTCTACAGTCACAGAGGCAAGTCAACAGGAGAGATTAAGAAAATAGAAAGACAAATAAGATAGGTAAAGCTTAAACACATTCAATATGAACAAACGCTGAAATATGAATTTCATGATATTTCATGTCTGAATGCAGAAAAAAAAATCAACGAAGTCTGGTTTAGAGTACTATCAGCTATACTACTACGGAAATCAAAGACTACACATCAAAGAAAAATAAATTGACCCATATATTTCACATGACAACATAAAATACCTATCTTTTATTCAATTGATACTCTGCCTGTGGCTCCTATAAACTAGCTGTCTCCACTGGCTGCTCTAAATTAATTCATAACATCAAGAAAAATAGGCACAGTCTAACCAACTTTTCCAACGGTTTTTACAGTTTGTATTCTCAGTAGTCATCCCTTCCACTTAGCTTCCTCTGAGTTCACAATCAAAAAATCAGAAATAAAAGAAAATTCACCAGAGCCTCGGATTTGTAAAGTGTATCATCCTAATACATAGGAGCATTTCAGAAGTGTAATCCATCTCCAAATCTAATTAAAGCAATATTAATAATATACTTAACACTAAGCTCTAGTTTTCTTTTAAGAGTAAATATCATATACTTCCATGGAGACTATAAACTTTTAAAAAGTAAATATACATTTTTGCCAAAGAATGCAAAACTGCAATTGACCTTTACCTTAACATTGGGGTTTTTTAAGGCAAATCCTCTGTACCACCCTGTGAAGAAAGAACATTTTGTTTTTTAAAGTATGCAAACCATTTCCATATGTAAAACAGATTTCATCTTTCCCTTTTGGACAGATATCACAATTACGCAGTGCTGTCAGACTGCACTCATTTAAAAGACTTTCCATACAATGAAAGGTATTTTGTTTAAACCAGCTCATATTCAGATGACTTAATTCACACAATTTCAGGAATTACTCTTTAACCCTGTATCCCCAAATGTTTCTAACAATGTAACCCAGGTATATTTTGCACTAGACACCACACCAGACAAAAGAGAAATGGTTTCATATTCACTGTAAACATTTATAAATCATTTTTGGACTTCATGTCCTAAATCTATCAACCACATTACTATACAAAATTCATAATATACCTGATTCAAAAGAACAGATCCTACGCCTTCTGTAAGAAAATTTCTTACAAGGTTAACAGCATATAATCCTCATATGAAACCAAAAAATACCTATATAATCCTAAATGATCAAAAAATCATACTGACAGACAAGCCTTAGGTAACATATTAAAGAGGCAGATTATGAAAAAAATGCAACTTTATTTCTCTTACACTAGTAACGGACATTTGCTAAAACCATATTAGTATTCTCTACCTCAGAACAGAGCAAAAGAGAATGTTTAAACTGCTTTAAGATTTAAACTTGTGACTTTGAATCCATTTGAAAGGGTCTTGATGGTAGCCAGGCTTCCCTTGGAAATACCAAGAAAGCAGAAGAATCACAATGAGAACTCCTTGCTGTTTTAACTGTTACCCTCTATGAATGTTTATTAAATAGAGAGATTAAATAAAGTAATGAATTGCCAATTAATTATTATAGAGATTAGAGCTCATCGGAATTGTGAAAAAAATGAAGAGGCCAGAATGTGTTATATTATTGATTTCAAAAATGCGTTAATTTAAGAAAATAAATGAATAGTAATGGGGTTCAAATCAACAGTATACAAAACTTCATTATCACTGGAATTCCAACCTGTGAACTCACCATCACATTTCTCTAATATTTGAACAGTGTCTCCAATCTCCAGTGATAGGCCATGTGGGACTGTCCCTCGAAAACCAGCTATTACTGAAAAAGATAATAAGTTTCAATTATTTACAACATTAAAATAGAAATTATTATTCCTCTTGTTAACAAAAATAGTATATTAACAGGGGAATTTAACTGTTTGTTCTAACAGGCTTACTGAAATTTAATAAGCTGTAGAAAGAATCAGAGGTTAAGCCACTTTTATGAGCAGAAAATTTGAAATACAGGACTTGGAAAAAACCCGAAACACTTACAGACCTACTATACATGAATGGAAAGCTTGTACTGGAGAACACTGTTAGCTAGACCATAACTACCCTGAAGGACAGAAGCTGTTTCATTCCAAATGCTCACACTAACACATATCAGACCTCAGAATTTTGCAACCTGAAAGTGCCAATATTTTTGTTGCCATCTATACCACCCACACACCACAAAAGGAAAACCTTATTTCACATTCGCTTAATGGATGCTATAGACCCAACACTCCATATAATCCCAAACGTGAGGAAATGGCTAGGGGGTGGAGACCAGTAGAGCGTGCTGGTCACTAAAATACGTTAAGTGCACACACAGTCTCCCCTGCAGCCTCCCTGAAGCCAGTGAAGCCCAGGGCATGAGCTCGGGCTGGGACAAGAGCTACGGGAATGGGCTTCCCTTGCTGGAGGTAAAACATGCCTCAGATACAAAACGTCCACCAGAGCAGTGATGCTCCCAAATACTTACAATGGTCAAATTTTGAGTCTTATATTGTTAGTGCTAAAAAAATAGCCAGCTATTTTTTTCACTCAGAACCAAAATAGAATGCTCAAAAGCCACTAAAAATGCTCATTCCTACAAATGCTAAAAATCCATTGACATGCTAGACAGTAATTCAGCTATTCAACCCTGTGCTTACTGTATTTGAAATTCTGAATTAAAATATAGCTTAATTCAGGCCATGAGACCCAGCAATAGTGATTGTGATTCTCTGTATTGTAATATTCTTTTGGAGCTTAGTTTTGAAGTTGAAGAGGAAAACGGCCTTCTACCAATATCAGCAGGGCACGATGCACAAAACTTAGGGGCCTAACAGCAGTCTTAGATAGGAAAACCCAAATCTCACAGCAAAGTAAAAAAAACACCAACTCAGAGGCGTGAGAACAAATCTTCACATGTAAAAGCCAAAAGGAAACCCCATGGGCGCAGATATGCATATAAAGTAACTACTCTTCCACCAAAGGACCTGCAAGGTTTTGAGTCGCAACAATCCATTTTGGCGGCTCTTGCATGCTGTCGGAGGTCTCTCCCACCACAGGCAGAGACTACGCTCAAACACAATATAACCTGTCATCCACCGCCTGTGCTTGTCACATTGTTCATCAAAGGCAGCAGGAGAGATTAGCTGTCAGCAACCATGAAAACAGTAAATTCATTTGGGAATCTTCACCAGAAAGTTCCAGATTTTAAGAGTAAACCAACAGGATATGGTTTGTACTATAGGATGGCATGTATAAAAATGTACAAAAAGTACATTTTTGCCAAATCTTTCTTCAGAATCTGAAGGCTTCAAAAATCACTGAAGTCAATCATCATTTCAATTATCACTAAATTATCACTATGCTTAACCCATGGTCTTTATTTATCCCTTTGAAAAAATGCCTGTGAGATTATGTGCCTGGTCAGTCCCCAAGAGTTTGATATAACATGTGACCAGTATTTGTAGCATTGAGCTTTTTTTTTTTCTTCCCGAAGGCATGTATATTGAATCAATCTCTATTCATTTCAGTGTTCTTCCTACTCTCCAAGGTATTTACACAGAACTAAAATACCCTGAGATAAGCATTATGAAATAAAAAGAGCTACTTTGGTTCCCCCACCACAATCAAGTACACCATTTTGTAAGAGGGTTAGTTGCAAGACAGCATTTGTACAGAAAAAGTTTGTCTAATAGTTGAAAAATGAGAATTTTTCAATTAATTCTTATACAAAGATCTAAAAATTAAAACAGCTTATTAACTAGGAACAGATTAAAATAAAAACAAAACCCCCTGAATATCAATACAATGTATATCTAAATTCATCTGTGGCACTGGAATGACAGGAGTCATTCTGGTCACCTTTCTAGCTTGCAAGAAGCAAAACTGAATTATGAAGCCTGCCAAAATAGCACCTACAGCCACTGAAATAAAATTAAGGAATTAACAGAAGCAGCATGCAAAACCAAACAAAACCAAACCCTTGTGTGTTATTACACTTGTGAGATGCCTTATTTTTAAACTCCATGAGATAAAAAGAGTGACAGTAATTTTCTCCTTAAGAGCCAATATATCCTGTCACATTGTTATGATCTGACTTTGCTGTGACATTCAGTTTTTATTACTTAGTTACTAGATCTGTTAAAGATTTTTTTTTCTCTTTTTTTTTTTTTAAGAGAAGTTTCAAAAAAAACTTTTAGGACAAAAAAAGATTGAAATCTGACACAGTGTAGAAAATAGCTAGAATTCATTTTAGAGTACGTATGGAAGAAAAAAACTATACCTTGAAATATCTTCTAGAAGGATAGCCTGCAGAGTACCAGAAAAAGAAAGAAAGAAACAAGGGCATCACCTGTACCACTGAGCCAGCACATTCACCCGATCCACTCACAGAACTGGCTGGATTCTTGCAGAGGTCTTGCAGTGAGGTCAGGCTCAAAACAGGCAGCCCGTGGTCTTTAGCAATGCCACTCAAAACAAAGCACACTGCAGAGCAGCAGAGAATTTAATGCAAAGCACGGGAATCCACTGATAAACTTATCACACAAATGTTTACTCGGCTAACTTTCTACTACTCAAGTCATGTTACAGAATTGGGACCAAGACAGAAGGTGGTTATTCATGCCTTTTTAGTTTATCTGTGGGGTATATACGTAAGTAGACTATAGGGAGGATAACGATGAAGTCATGGAAGTAGGTAGTTACAGTTCCACCAGAGAGGATCCCAGGGTTCAGCAGTTCAGCTAGGACACAGGGTTCTTAACCAAGCCATGATATAAATCTGATGTACTGAACCTCTTGCCCTTTCCTCCAATGACCACATTGTTCTGCAACACTTTGCAGATGCTCCTTAATTCTTTCTCCTAGTAGTAGTAAGTATATAATTAATCACTCTGCAGTGGCCGTGGCTTAAGGTGTTCTCAACCTAACTTGAGAGCAGTACACATTTATCATACTCACAGAACTGGACTTTTTATATATACAGCATTCACCAAGCCATGTGCATCAAATATGCACCATTTTCATTCTTATAACAACAGTAGCTGGTGTGGTTATCATCTTCTCTTACTTCCATTGCAACCAGACAGCAGAGACCTTAGAAAAGGACGGACAGGAGAAGAGAAATCCACTCTGAATATAGCTCACCTACCAATATCTGCAGTCTTTGCAGATGTGCTGTCCACGTGCATGTCCCCAGGAAGCTAAGTATCAAAAGCACTTACATCTAGATACATTTTTTTGTCATTGTAGTACCTGAAGGTCATATAAATGTCCTGTTTGTGTTTCAAGCACGGGCATAGTGATTGATGCCCTCTTCAATCACCTCTCAGCCACAGGAGGAATGTGGAACTCTACAATAAAAGTTTGTAGGAGGATATATTCTCAGAAGTGTTTTGGAAACTGAGTTCAAATACAGCAGCCAGCTGGCATGATTAAATATTTTCTTGCTGCCAAAGGGTACTCAGAGGATAAGAAAGCAAGACAACACAGGACACAAAAACCTAATCCATACAGAAGGTGAAATCATATGGTGAGAACTACAGTGACATGCAATATTAAAGCAGCTTTGGGTTTAATGCCAAGCTTAAAATTTTTAGGTGCAGTGAACCCCAAGTTATGAAACAACCCATTTCCATGAGAACTATGGAGAGATAATCAGAAAAAGAAGAACCTTTATGAGATAACCAGTTAAATTACCTTTCTGTGATTAACTGCTAAAATTAATCAAATGTGCTAATATTTTCTTAATATTCTTCTCCTACATTTCAATATAACAGTCAGTTCAATCAAGAACATGACATAAGACATCCTTTCTATGTGTTTCACAAAGTTTTTCACTACAAGGATGTGTGTGAATAATTGTAAAGAGGTTTCCAATCCTTACCTTCATATCAGACCACCACTGCAATTAGGAAAAAGAGGAAAGAGAAGGAATAATCTGATGGAGCTCTTATGTTCAGCTTCTCAAAAGAAACTTCATCTTTCTGCTCTCATCCAAATCACTGCCTGTCTGTGCTCACTGTTGGACAGTTTTACATATGCAAGCACCTGGCGTATAAAAAGATCAATCCAAGCCCAAGGTCTTAATTAAAGCCTAAACTAAGTTTTTTGGTGCAGGAACTCACCTTCTGCTCATCTAGAGCACAGATAGCATTGCTATTCTAAAAAATAAAACAAGATTCTTTTTCTACTTGCAACTAGTGCATTCAAATCTTACATGTGAGTTAGCATTATAAAGACGGATTTGAGACTCACCAAGAGCATGCTGGGTTTCATGGCTGGCTTGACTTTTTGTTTATAAGATGAAAATGTCTCAAAGGGTGCAATGTGACATGGTGCTCAAGATGCCCGCCTGCCACAAGTTAAAATTAAGCTCAACACTACGAAAGGAGACACACAGTACACTGCTGTTCCTAGCCGAGTAGCAGGACGTAGAGCCCCACATATAAAGGAATCAACAGCAGTAGAAGCAACATCTACAGCAACTACTAATACCTCAAAAATGAACATTTGTACCACAATAGCAGACTCAGGTTTCACATAATAAAAACCAGTCCTTCAACTGAAGAAAGAGATGGGGGGAAAGGATGTGGGGTAGGAAAATGTAATTACTTTAATAATTACTTTAATAATTACTTGGCCATATTGTACATGCTAACTGCTGGAGTAAAAAATAGACTCCAGTTCAATGCCCCAAGTCATGATGCCCCAACTATCAGAGGTAGCATATGAACCACACAGAAATGTGGTAAAAACACACTGGAAAATAACAGATTTGGAGGATGGGAACACTGTGTCAGA